TTTGTTATTTGGACTGTATAAAAAGACTCCCATTTCCTTCATTGTATCTCTTCCCCACAAATTAACAGGAAAATTAGAAACAATGTTAGGTTGAAAACATCCTTAGTGTCCTTTGTCATCTTCCCAATGTAAGAGATCACTGCTTTTGTAATTGAGTAACGGCAGTTGTTTTCGGCCAACATCTAGGCCAATGTATAGAAGTCATTACTAATACATCTGCTCCTATATCCAGCAACCATGTAAATTTTTTTCTATTTATTCTTAAAACTAATTCATGACTTAAAGCTTTTATTGCTTGAACCCAGTAAGAATCTGAAAAACCAACTCTTTCATTCCTCGATCATTAGCTTTAACCTTATTTTCTGTCATAATCAACAGTATAAGGAGTAATTGAGCAACACTATGTCCAAGTTGGATGACACAAATATAGGTAGGTGAAGAGATCATAATTTTAATTACCCCAGTACAATCTGTATCTATAACTCATAGAGCAATCATCAGTCCTGCCATAGTGGCACTGCTTCTTTCCAGTAACAGTCCTACAGTTTCTGACAATAACAGACCATATATTCTGGTAGGAAGAGCCTGCATCCCAATTTCAGGAGTTAATACTGTGTAGGTAGAAGGACTGGGATCCAGTCTTGTTTTTTTTTCTCATTATTTTCCTTAGTTTTATTCAGACAATTCCTCCCTAGATGCCCTGTGTGTCCACACCCAAAACAACTTCAAAGAGGCCTATTAACCCTTCTCTTTCCTTTTCCAGTCTTTTGAAACAAAACTTGTATAGTATTTCCCTGTAGTGCAGCAGCCATGGGCATACCCTGCACATAAGAGGGACCAATCTCAGAACATAATCTATTATAGTCTGTAATAGTGCCAGTCTTTCTATAAAGTCTTATGGCAGCCTGACAGGCTGTTTGCATTCTCATAAGCCAGTTGTTTTACTAAAAGCATTCCAGCATTAGTATCACCAAACACTCTCCCTGATGCTTTAATCAGCATATCAAAAACTCCTGAAAAAGACTATCAGGTCCCTGACTTATTTTTTAATATCTTGAGACAAATCCCTTTTATTAGGCAAGATATTCCAGGCCCTACAAGCAGCAGCACCAATTTGACCATAAGTACCAGGATTAAATTATAACAGAGTCTGTATATCCTGTTAACCTTCTGTTAACATCTCATAAGTAACCTGATTGCCAGCTCTAGCATTTAGCTCTGCTGTCTGCCAGCATCTTTCAAAAAATTCCATTTTCAATAACAGATAATCTCCTCCCAAACATATATGAGCTAACAGTTTCCAATCTGCAGATGGAAGAGCTTTAGTAGACAGGCCATCTAACATGTGAATGGAGAATGTAGCAGTAGGTCCATACTGAGCACAGGCAGTTTTTAATTCTTGTAGTTGTTTAAAAGGAATGGGAGTGTAGGTATCTAACTTTTAATTCTCTTGTTAATTTTGCACTTCAAACACAGGGCATTGAAAGCATATCATTTTAAGTTTTCCTTTATTTTTTTTTTTGCATCCAGTTTGAATCCTCCCGGAAGAAGTGACACTAGAGTAACACTAGGATTTAAAGAGGTTTCCCATCATTTCTGCTGCTCTTTGAAGTCACTAAAGGAGGCCAAATCTCCATTTTTAGCTCTTTATTAGTATAAACTCCTCAGAATCTGAACTTTCAATACTCTTATGTACACTAAGAACTTGCTGCTATGAACATAGTGCAGAATGTGCCCTTGTTGTATGTTGTAGCATCTTTTGAGTATATGCACAGGAGTGGCATAGCTGGGTCCTCAGGTATTACTGTGTTCAATTTTCTGAGGAACCACCAGACAGATTTTCAGAGTAGTTGTAACAGCTTGTAATGCCACAAGCAATGAAAGAGTGTTCCTTGCTCCACATCCTCATAATCATCAGCTGTCACCTGAGTTTTGGAACTTAGCCATTCTGACTGGTGTGAGGTAGAATCTCATGATCATTTTGATTTACATTTTCCCAATAACTAAAGATGTTTAACATTTCTTTAGGAGCTTCTAGGCCAGTCATGATTCCTCAGTTGAGAATTTTCTGTTTAGCGCTATACCGAATTTTTAATAGGATTATTTAGTTCTCAGGAGCCTAACTTCTTGATTCCTTATTATGTTTTTGATATTAGCCCTCTATCACATATAGGATTGCCTTTTCCCAGTCTGTAGGTTGTCATATTGTCCTATTGACAATGTCTATTGCCTTTTAGAAGGCTTTCAATTTTATGAGATTCCATTTGTCTTAGAGCCTACGCCATTGGTGTTCTCTTCAGGAAATTTTCCCCTATGTCAATATGTTTGAGGCTCTTTCCCTTTTCTGTTCTATGGGATTCAGTGTATCTGGCTTTATGTGGAGGTCTTTGATCCATTTGGACATGAGCTTTGAGCAAGGAGATAAAAATGGATCAGTTTACATTCTTCTACATGCCAACCTCCACTTGAGCTGGCACCATTTGTTGAATATGCTGTCTTTTATCCACTGAATAGTTATGGCTTCTTTGACAAAGATCAGGTGATCATAAGTATGTGGGTTTAATTTAGGGTCTTCAATTCTATTCCATTGATCTATCTGTCTCTGTACAAATACCAATCTGGTTTTGCCACTATTGCTCTGTAGGAGGTCAGGTATGGTGATTCCCCCAGAAGATTTTTTTTATCGTTGAGTTCTTGCTATCCTGGGGTTTTTGTTATTCTAAATGAATTTGAAAATTGTTTTTCTAACTCTATGAATTATTGACTGAGAATTTTGTTGGGGATTGCATTGAATCTGTAGATTGCTTTTTGTAAGATGGCCATTTTTACTATGTTAATTCTGCTGATCCATGAACACAGGAGAACTTTCCATCTTCTGAGGACTTCTTCAATCTCTTTTTCAGAGACTTTAAATTCTTATACAGATCTTTCACTTGCTTGATTGGAGTTGCACGAAGATATTTTATAATAGTTGTGACTATTGTGAAGGGTGTCATTTCCCTAATTTCTTTCTCAGCCAGTTTGTCCTTTGATTAGAGAAAGGCTACTGATTTGTTTGAGTTAATTTTACATCCAACCTCTTTGCTGAAGTTGTTTATCAGCTGTAAGAGTTCTCTGGTGGAATTTTTGGGGTCACTTAAGTATACTATCATATATTTTGCAAATAGTGGTATCTTGACTTCTTCCTTTTCAGTATGTATCCCTTTGACCTCCTTTTGTTGTCTAATTGCCCTGGCTAGAACTTTGGGTACTATATTGAATAGGTAGAGAGAGAGACTGGGTAGCCTTGTCTAGTCCCTGATTTTAGTGGGATTGCTTCAAGTTTCTCTTCATTTAGTTTGATGGTGACTATTGGTTTGCTGTATAAAAGGATAGTTGTCTTTCAGCTCCTCAAATAAGAAGCAAAATTTCATACTTCCCTGATCTGTGCACCTTACACAAACCATACAAATATCTTAATAGTACTATAATTTTGGTTGTAAGATTCATATACTGCGAAATTTGAAGCTCTAACAAGATTTGTCTGCAGGAATACTAAAACAACCTGGTATTTCAACTCCCTCCTTCCTGATGCTGTCCAGAGACTTGCTTTCAAAACAACTTCAGAACGTGGGGCTGATTCCCGATAGACTTGATTCATCTAGCCTCTCAGACAGATCCCAGAACTTCAGATAAACCCTGAGGTTTCGAGACATACAGAGACTGGATAATAAATGCTAAAGCTAGTTACCTTATTTCTAACCAATGTTTCTTATTTTCCTACCCTTCCCTGCTCCTTTAAAAGAAATCTTCATTGCCCCTATTCAGCAGGAAGAAATTGTGGAGAGTCATCATCCTGATCCTTTGGGTTAGGGTGTGCAGTTATTGTTACTTTATAAATTATAGATAGTCATTTTTAGGAACAATTTTTGAATGGTCATAATTTTGAACAGGAAGTAAATATATGGGATGGATTACTGAATTTATTCTTAAGCAAAGCATCATATAGCCATAAACTTATATTGGTACAACTCTTTATAACTGATGCAAATTGAAGTTATCATTTCTTACGTTGGTACAGAATTTATTTATGGATAAAGATTTAAGGTTTTCATTGGTGTAAATCTTTGTATATTGATATAAAATCTGAATTAATATTGTTACTCTTAGAAAGGCATTGTGTCTATGCAACTTGTGAAAACAAAAGGCTTTGACCCACACAGTCCTTCCAGCTACTATTACAAACTGTTTAGGATGATTAAATAAGGCAAGTTGAGGATCAGAGAGTAAAACCATGACTATAGTAGATTCTAATTTAATTATAATAAAGTGTTTTGAATATTATTCAAGTAGAAATAGCTAAGAGTAGTCAAGGATTAACAGTTTTTATATACTTTATATAGATAGTCTTCAAAAACCACAGAAATCCACAGAATATGACAGATTATTAAATTTAGATATTAAATATTTAGATCATTATTAAAGATCATTTGACTATAAGTCATGTCTGCTCCTCACAGTATCACATTACAGTTTAAAGAAGATATTGAGCATCGTTTACTCCAGGCAGAGTTTCTTATTGTGCCAAGGTAGCCACTAGGCAAGAATTACCCTAATTCATCTGAAGACAAAGAATACTTTCCAGAAAAGGATGCAAGGGCTGGGTAGTCAGCACCTTAGCTCTTCCAAGATAGAGTAAGCTAGTCTTTTATAGCTTCTGCTTCACTGAAGGTCCATTAGATGATACTGGCCAGAAGGCTGAAGACAGATGATTCAATGTTTTGTGGTATAGGGGACTGTCCAAGTAGTCATCTGTGTCTATAATTTAGTCAAGCTTTGAAAGCTATGTTTTTGTGCTTCCTATACATTCGGGTTAAATTTAATTCATTCTCTGATTTCTGATGGGGCTGAAGACTAGTTATAGTCTCATATTCAAACTTAAATTGTTTAACATTAAGAAAGATGATGTAGTTTTGAAAGGATGGTTTTCAGATGGTGCTGCAAGGAAAATCAGAACAGAATTCACTTATAGAATTGAAATCTCTTTAATGTAAGATAGATGTTAGAACAATATACCCACATTGACAAGATTGATAGACTGTATGTTATTACTGTATATCATACCTCATAGTTTACAAAACTGTTATAATTATGTTCTGTGTATATCTGAAAGACAAGGCCTTTAGTGAACAAAATAGGGAGAATGTAGCAGCTTGTGTTCTTATGCTAATCATAATACCTCAAAAACTGTTTGTAGAGTCCCACATATAGGTTAAAGGAAACCTGCCCCCAGTTGGCTTTGATTGGCAAATAAAGTTGTCAACAGCCAATGGTTGGGAAAGGAGACAGGGACAGGACTTTTAGTGTAGAATATTGCAACTAAAACATCTGATACCAATTGTACAATTAGAGATGTCACAATAGTTCACCTTTTCTTCAAAAAATTATTGACCAAATTACAGAAACATGGTTACCATCAAAAGAAATTAACAGAGACATTCAAATGTGGATAGAGATGGTCCCACAAGAAGTGAAGGTGAATTTTCTGTTCTGTCACTGACTTGTCATCTCCTTTATATTAGATTGTAATTTGGATAGACATGGAGAAAGATCAATGGATGTAATGAATCTGTAACCACGAGTCAAGACAGTCAATTAAGCCCCATTTTATCTGGAATTCATTCATGAGATAAATTAAAGGGTTCAATGTACTTTCTGAAGAATCCAATAGAACTCCTTGAGGGGAAAGTCATGCTCCAGTTATGACTGCATCTCTTGGCACAACCTTTAGAACAATGGGTTTTGCTGGTTGAAGAAGTCCTTCTCTGCTTAATTTCACAGGTATCTGCAACAGGGGAAGAAAAATGTTGAAAAGCAATGAGTAAACCAACAAGATCCCCAGAAGAAAAGTTTAAGAAAAAGTATTTGGGATAATAATGCTTTGCAGAACCAAAAAGCTACATTTAATATCATATAATGTACATTAATTCTCCATGATTCTAAAAGATGTGTCAATTAGATGTTGAGAGCTTGCATCTAAATGTACATTATGTAAAATGGTGATTGAGAATCTATTGTAGTCAAGGCCTGAGACAAACTCATGCTAGTTTATACTACTTATGTTCTGTGCAAATTTAGAGTAAAACAGAAAGTTTAACATTTTTAACCTTATTCTTAGTTTTTATGTTATATTATTTTTTAAGTCATGAAAAGTTATGTTTGGTTTTACAAGATAACCATGAGATGATACATTTCAACTCTATTAACAGTCCCTAACTTTCAGATCATATCTCACTAATGCACTTCAGCATATTCAGGGCAAGTCTTCTCTGTAGGACAAATATTTTGCTTGCTTTTTTAGAATCTATTCTTGGCTTCCAAGGATTGGATGAATTGGAATCTCTAATTCTACAAGATTCTTTGAAAATGATTTAGCCTGATGCCTTTCAATGATGAGTGGGGAAAGCATCCAATGGAAAAAATCTTCTACTCACAGGAAAAGGAAGGGGAACAAAGTTATGGAGACAAAGAAGTGTCCATTTTAAAATGACTGGAGCTAGAAAGAGCATCTGCCTCATGCCAGGTAGGCCATTAGGTCTCAAAACTAGAACCTTGCTTAACCTGTCTAAATCCTTGTACATAATTTGAATGCTTTAGTGAAAAGGAATGCTTTAACTAAAGGCATGTGTGGATAAAGTTATACAACTGCCTTAAGAAACAGATGAAAACTAAACACATCTTTCTCTGTCTCAGAGATGAGCTTCTAAAGCCACACTCTGAGTGAGTTGTATTAGGATTTCAAAAAAGACCAGACATCTTGAGTTTCTGGATTCTCCTTGAGAGACATAGACCATGTTGGCTTCAAATTCATTAAGTAGCTAAGAATTATTTATGATACTCAATCCTCTAATTCCTGAGTGTAGTAAGTATAAGTATGTACCATCACAGCTTATTTATGTAGTCCTGGGGATTATAACTAGAGACTTGTACAAAACAGGTAAACATTTTGCCATCTGAGAAACATCCCAGACCCCATGTATGAGTTTTAAAGTTACTCTGTAATTCTAATGTACATCACTGGTTGAAAACACTGTGAGAAGAGGGCTTCTGTGATCTCTGGGAGAAGAGGTCAACACACAACAAACACTGAAGGCATGACCATGGCACCTCTGGATGGCACATGACATACCCAATCTCAAATGGACATGACTAGAATTTCAAACAGAATGCATGGAATCCTGCCACACTGGCCTACGCTGACTCCTCATAATATTAAGTTCTATTTTATACAGATATAGAACAAAAGGCCCATTAGATAAACATAGCTCATTTTGTCAGAGAACAAATTATTAAAACTCAAATATACATAATGATTTTTATACATAGAACCTTCACTTGGAAAAATGCCTCCCATAAAACACTATTTATAGAGATAGTTTTCTCCATCACCTGTGTTTCTTTACAAGGCTGGAAGGAGAAGTTCTGCAGAATTTTAGTGAGAGCGAGTTTCATATTCATGAGAGCAAACCTCATGCCAATGCAGTTTCTGGGTCCATTTCCAAAGGGCAGATATACATAAGGATCAATGCTGCCCTTGTTCTCCTTCCTGAACCTGGAGACACAATAGTAGATGACACGTTAACAAAGAATGAAAGCATAAGAACTACACATGTGAACTTACCTTTTGACATCTAACCAGTACACACAGGTAGTTTGGAAAAACTTCAGTGAACTTCTGCTTGCAAGTATTTGGCTCTGAGATGTTTATGCTAAAGGTCCTTTTCATTCTACTTCCCTTATAAGAGTCTCTATATGATAGAAATATGATAAATCCTGCTTTATCAATACTTCCTTCAACTGGAGAGATGGCTCAGAGGTTAAGAGGACTGATTGCTCTTCCCGATGTCCTGAGTTTAATTCCCAGCAACCACATGGTTGTAATGCAAACTGATGCCCTCTTCTGGTGTGTCTAAAGACAGCTACAGTGTGTGTGTGTGTGTGTGTGTGTGTGTGTGTGTGTGTGTGTGTGTGTAATCTTTTTAATAATACATCCTTGCTTAGGAACACACTAGTGTAATAGTGATGTTATGCGGTAGGAGGAACCAATCATTTTCTGATTGGATTGGAGGTTCAAATCACAGTGGAAAGTATTGCCTGGTACTCTAAATCTGGTCAAAATCTCATGGCTACAGACATCAAAGGCACTAGATGACAGTGTACTGCTGTTGTTTTGCTAAGTGAACATGGTAACAAAATGTCTTCTAAATATTCATCTCTCACATAAATTTTAGTATTGATCTCACCCTTGTACAGAAAAGTTTCAGTTTGCAATGGGAGACATTTAACGCAGAAGCTCGAGACTTCTCATAGTGTGTTGAAAATAATCACTGTTGAAGTTCTCAGCCCATCCAAAGCTCAGGAAACATCACAGAAGAAAGGACAGAAAGAATGTAAGAGCCAGTGAATGAAATGGGTGCTGTGAGTACTAACTTCTGGGCATGACATGGCCACTGCACTCATGAACTCATACCATCTGTGGACACCTACACAAGACCAAATACATCATCATTACATCATGGATGAGGAAGATGCACATGAGATGCCACCTCCTTAAGGAGATGTTTTGGAGGAGAAGAGAGATGTTTTTCTTCAATAGTGCAGCCACTGGACAGTTGACCATTCTCCAGTATTATCTCCTGCATTTATGCTTATGCAAGCAACTCTAAGTAAACTCACAAATCACAAAAAAGAGAAATCCAGAAACAAATAAGAAGAGGAAGGAGACTGGTTGAAGATGAACAGGGATTCCACATAAGTCGAAGGAAAAGAGACATGGCAATGTGAGGTCAAAATGACCAGAATTCATTATCCATTCATGTGACTGTCAAAAAAATTAAAAGGAACAAGAAAGGAACTACATCTTGAAATACTAAAAATCCATTCAGGATAATGTTGTGTTCTATCTTCCAAAAGCACATTTCATTTGAAATGCATTGAAACTGGGTACCAGCCCCACACTTAAGTGAGGCAACAACTACTTGAGGAAGAAGGAAGAAAACACTGTATATTTAAATGCTCATATCTTGTTCTCATTTGACTTCCCCTCTCCTCTTTTTTCTTCCCTTACTCTGCCATTCACCTCACAGATTAGAAATGGATGCAAACCATACTTAGATCATCTTTCTATAACAGACATGAAAGCATACACAATCCTGCAGAGTTCAGAGTGAGTTCCTGTGCTGGTACCTTTCGGGGCAGAATTCCTCAGGCTCTGGCCAGTGCTGTGGGTCATGGTGAAGAGCATAAGTAGGAATCATCACTGTTGACCCTTTGGGCATAAACACACCATCAATTTCAACATCCTTTTTACAGACTCTCTCAAGTCTATTAGCAATTGGGTATACTCTGAGGGTTTCATTCAGTACCATATCCAGGTACTCCATTTCCATCACTATATCATAGTTGGCTGGTGCCTAAGAAGAAAGAAAAAGATTTCTGCTGAGATTTTAGATTAATATTCAATTGTATCTAGTGTTGAATTCTCAGTAGGCCCAAAGTCAAGCTCAGCAGCTCAAAGGACCTTAGTATTTACAATACATTTTAAACAGGTTTTTAAATTGTTTTATTTCATATATGTAGATATTGTGCTTATGTACATTTGAGTACACCATATGAGTACAGTGCCAACAAGAGCCAAAAGAGGCCATCAGATTTCCTGTAACTAGATTCAGAGCAGTTGAGAGCTGCCATTATCATGCTGGGACTCAAATATGGATGGACCCTATGGAAGACGAGGCAGTGTTCTTAACCATTGTGCCATCTCTCAAGCTCCTTACAAAGCAGAATAACTATCACTTAGTGCCTGAAAAATGCTCAATTAAAGAAGGGTCTACTATGCAAGCCTGAGGATGAGAGCTCAGATACAAATCATTATAAAGCCTGACATAGTGATACCCATCTATAATCCCAGCAGTAGGTAAACATAGACAGGACATTTGTGGTGCTCATTGGCTAGACAACCTAACCCAATCGATAAGCTCCAAGTTTGGTAAGAGAGCCTGTATCACAAAACACGGAGGAGAGTGATTTAGAAATATACACTCTGTAGATCTGTGACATATACACTCACACATATATGTGTGCACAAATTTACATATATACATACATACACACACAAATGAACTGAGAGAGAGAGGGCGGTAGTTTGGCTCATGATTTAGACACAAAGTCTCACACCTTGGCTTCTTCTCCTATAACTATGAATAGATAGGGGGAATCATGGCACAGAGCTGAGTTAGCACAATCAAGGCCAAGGCAAGCCTATCTTAATGCACAGCTGGGACACAGCAGAGCCGGTAGTATCATTGAACCACGAAGAGAGCTGTATGTAAAGTGCATATCTTTAACATCACACAGGTTGTGTACATGTTGCTTGCTTGGTACTCTTGTGGTCCGAGATAATAGACACACCAAGCCTCACCATTCATCACAACAACCTTCCATTGCCATGATAGGAGTTATTGTAATTTTTTCTTCTGTGGCAGTTTTATGATAATTTCAAAATGGTCCTGGGAAAAACTGATGCTTGTATTCTTGTTACAAATTATCAAGGGCTGCTCAAATGGCTCAGTGAGCAAAGCACCTACGACTAAGCCTACTGACATGATTTGGACCCTTAAAACACATGTAGTTGAAAGAGAGAAGAACTTCCTTCAGGTTGCCCTTTGACCTACACACATAGTACACATGCCCACATACATGTGTACCAATCCTACATCTGATAGAGGGCTAATATCCAATATATACAAAGAACTCAAGAAAGTAGACACCAGACAACCAAATTACCCTATTAAAAAATGGGGTATAGAGCTTAACAAAGAATTTTCAATGGAAGAAACTCGAATGGCCGAGAAGCACCTAAAGAAATGTTCAATGTCCTTAGTCATCAGGGAAATGCAAATCAAAACAACTCTGAGATTCCATCTCACACCAGTCAGAATGGCTAAGATTAAGAACTCAGGTGATAGTAGATGCTGGCGAGGGTGTGGAGAAAGAGGAACACTCCTCCATTGTTGGTGGGACTGCAAGATGGTGCAACCACTTTGGAAATCAGTGTGGCGGTTCCTCAGAAAATTGGACATAGCATTACCCGAGGATCCAGCTATACCACTCCTAGGCATATACCCAGAAGATGCTAGAACATATAACAAGGACATATGCTCAACTATGTTCATAGCAGCCTTATTTATAATAGCCAGGAGCTGGAAAGAACCCAGATGTCCTTCAACTGAGGAATGGATTCAAAAAATGTGGTATATTTACACAATGGAGTATTACTCAGCTATTAAAAACAATGAATTCGAGAGGTTCCTAGGTAAATGGATGGAACTAGAAATTATCATCCTGAGCGAAGTAAGCCAATCACAAAAGAACACACATGGTATTCACTCACTGATTATTGGATATTAGCCCAGAACCTTGAAATGCCCAAGATGCAACTCACAGGCCACATGAAGCTCATAAAAAAGGAAGACCAAGTGGGGGTGATTCAGTTCTTCTTAGAAGGAGCAACAAAATACTCAAGGGAGCAAACATGGAGACAAAGTGAGGGACAGAAACTGAAGGAGGGGCCATTTGAAGACCTTTCCACCTGAGTATCCACCCCATATGCAGTCACCAAAGGTAGATGCTGATGTGGAAGTCAGGAAGTACATGCCGATAAGGGCCTGATATGGATGTCTCCTCAGAGGCCTTCAAGAGTCTGACATATTCAGAGGCAGATGCTCACAACTAGCCATTGAACTTATCATGAGGTTCTCAATGGAGGAGTTAGAGTGAGGACTGAAGGAGCTGAAAGGGTTTGTGGCACCATGAGGAGAGCAACAATACCAACCAACCACAGCTCCCAGGGTCCTAACCACCAGACTGGGAGCACTTATGGAGGGATCCAGGGCTTCAGCTGAATATGTAAGAGTAGAGGGCCCTGCTGGCACAGGTGGAAGATGAGATCCTTGACCTCATGAAGGCTGGACGCCCCAGGGGGTGGGAATTTTGAGGGTGTGGAAGTGGGAGTGGGGGGGGGGAGGGGGGGGTTACCACCCCCGCCCAGAAGGAGGAGGCCTCGGGGGGGGGGGGCCCCCGGGGGGGGGGGGGGATGGGGTAAGGGGATAACATATGAAATGTAAATAAAATATCCAATAAAAAAAAAAGACTTCTAACCAGAAAGATGGTTCAGTGGTGTGAATACACAAAAATATATACACACCACATATACAACATACATACACTAACTTTTACTCATTTTCTCTGTCTCTCTCTTGCTCTCTTGCTCTCTCTCTCTCTCTCTCTCTCTCTCTCCCTCCCTCCCTCCCTCCCTCTCTCTCTCTCTCTCTCTCTCTCTCTCTCTCTCTCTCTCACTCACACACACATACACACACAAACACACAGACAAACATATACACACACAACATTGCAGGTAACAAGGTGTCTTTGTTGAGGCTTCTCCTTTTCCTTCCTATACCATCCACTCACCTTATTGGGCAGAGCCCTGTCAATCTCCTCCTGCAGTTTCTTCTGGATATCAGGGTGAGTGGCCAGGGAATACAGGACGAAGGAAAGTGTGATGCTGGTGGTTTCATAGCCAGCAAAAATAAAGATTACTGACTGGGCTGTGATCTCCGTGTCAGACAGGGCTGGAAGTAAAAAAACATCTCAGGTAAGCCATGTCAGGATAGACCATCACAGAGGGCATGAGGAGAAAATAAATGAGCCTCCATGTTCCTAGAGAGACTATGGAAATGCCATTCAGTCACTCTATGACTATCGTCACCGTGACAACTTCATGACACATCCAAAAATAGAGAACGTTTCAGGCAGGTTGTCCCAATGTTAATGCTGTTTCTTATCATCTCCAGTGGGCAGCTTCAAGACATGGACTTTCTTTTTTTGTAAATTTCATTTTTATTTATCAGTATTTCTGTATGTGTGGGGGTGCCATGTGTTTGAGGAGGGTGCCAATGGAGCTGAGAAGAGGGCATCTAATCCCTTAGAGAAGGAGTTACAGAAGGTCCCTGATATAGATTAAGGTGGCTTTTTAAATTTTATTTATTTATCTGTGTTTGTCTAACTTCCTGTAGAAGCCAGAAAATGTCATTAAAGCCCATAGAGCTAATGTTACAGTTAGTTGTACATCTACCATGAATGATGTGATTATGGTAAATTATGGTAAATTCTTTCTCCCAGTTGCTGTAAGTCCTTGCTATTAAACTGAAACTGAACAATAAATAGACAATCAATTACGATTTTTAAAAATAATATTTATTTTAGCAATCAAAAATGAAAGAGAAGGCCTGAGGATATGCACTTCAGAAGATGGGCTGCTTCCCTGGTATTTAGAAAGCCCTGGGTTCAGTCCCCAGCACTCTATACACCAGGGTTAGGTTTGTGTTCTGGATTACACTGGAAGATTGACTGGAGAGAAGAGAGCCAGTGATGGAAAAATTCTGCTTCTCAGTAGCAGGAAGAATCAGCAACTCAAGAACTGATCAATGACTGCTTCCTAGAAGCTCTTTTTATTGTTACACAAAAGGCAAGTTTAGCAAGTCAATTTCCACAAACCCAAAATGTCTCATCTGATAGAGGGCTAGTCTTGAAAGACCCATCACCTAAGCAGTTCTCAGCCATAGGAGACTGCCTTGTTTGACAGGCTTGTCTTCACACTAAGTTAAGCACAGGCTCTGAGAATGTTTCCAAAGAACACCATAAAATCTCATATAACAATCACTGACAAAGGACTACTTGAAAGCTGAAGTGACACCACTCCACATTTGTGCCAGATAAAATAGTTCTGCTAAAACACTGCTGCATGGTAGCACATGCCTTTAGTCTCAAGAATTAAAGGTCATTCACAAGCACATTGTGAATATGGGTCAGGCTGGACTATATGGACCATGTGACAAAAGGAGGAGTGAGTATAGAAGAACTTGAAGTTATCTGATCACATGTAAGGGTTTCAAGTGGTCAAACAGGAAAAGTGTTGAAACACAAAGTATTCGATCACTTTTTAAAATAAACATGGTGACCCAGAATTATACTGCTACATGATAATAGAATAGGTCAGAATGGAAGACTCTCTTTCCATTAGCTACTGATGCACATACATAGAACAAAGTCTGGAATTGGAATGGCATCAGTTTGCAGACATGATACTAACAATGATTTTAAATTAAAATACAGGTGGGGCAGCACACCCATGTAACCACAACTCTGTGGATCATTGGGACCTCCAGGCTTCCAGCCTAACCTCAAGTTTAACAAATTTAAAAAAAAACAGTTGAGCAGTGGTGGTACACACCTTTAATCCCAGCACTTGGGAGGCAGAGGCAGGAGGATTTCTGAGTTCCAGGCCAGCCTGGTCTACAGAGTGAGTTCAGGACAGCTAAGGCTATACAGAGAAACTCTGTCTCGAAAAACCCAAATAAATAAATAAATAAATAAATAAATAAATAAATCCCTGTCTCCCAGGAAACAAGATGGAGAGTGCTTGAGCAAGATACTGTGTGCTCTCATCTGTTAACTGTTCACACACGTAGGGGTATGCACATGTGTACGTACTTCTGCACATGCTTGTACTACACAAAGAAGATTAAAAATCTGTCAGTGATTTTTATGGGTTTTTGAGATAAAGTTTCTCTGTGTAGCCCTGTCTGTCCAGGAATCTATTATTTAGACCTGGCTGGCCTTGAACTAACAGAGATCCATCTGTCTCTGCCTCTCTGCCCAGGTCTCAATGATTTTTAAGTACATAAAAGAATGAAGAGGACTAGTGAATTTGTACAAAGGGGCTTTCCCCAGAAGCTACTTAGATATCACACAAAGGAAAAGTAAATCTTTGCCATGGATTAAGCTAGAGAGCACATGTACAACAGGGGATCCCATACAGGTTCAGCACCATGTAGGTACATCCCCCATGACAGTATGTTTAGACACCGATGTCTAGGCAGGCTGCATGCTGGGAAAGACACAAACAACACCTATGCTCACCCAGGTAACAAACAGACAACTGGAGATGTCCATCATGGCCACCCTTCATGTTATGAGCCAACTTTTGCCATGAGCATCCAGAAAATTCCATGTTGATAATAGCCACATCTGTCTTTCAGCAACTCAACAGAGGTTGCCCTCTACCTAGAAAAGCCTCCTTACATATATTCTGAGTGAACCACTGACTCCCCAAGAGCTTCCTTGTCCATTGATCAGGAAGGGCTGGCTTACCTTGATGAGACTCTTTGTCTTTGGAATTATTATGAGCATTCATCATCAGCTGGAAAAGATCTACTCGGTGCTGGAAGCAGAAAGAAAAGTTGCAAAAATGGAAGGTCAATGCTAAGGTCAGAAATCACAGGTGGATCAGGAGTGCAGAAGCTTTATTTTCTCATTTCTGAGAACGTGGTTCTCTTAAATTCACAACTGTGGCTAGAATTGCTTGAGTCCTCAAGGAGCAAAACCAGGAGTGGATAAACCAGGAACCCTCCAGCTTCCACACCAACCTCTTTTACAGTCAATTACAATAGATAGAATTTGAAATAAACACTTTTATTCTTTGAAAATGTTATTGAAGGAAAGGAAAATAATATTCCCCTTTTTAATCATTTTTATTGGTTACTAGAGAGTTTCATACATGCACACAGTCAGACATGGTCATCTCCACCCCACTGTTTCCTCCATCCAATTCCTTCTATATCATCGGTAACATTTCTTCCTCCACAGTCCATGTCCTCTCCTTACTTACCCACTGAGTCCAACTAGTCCTGATTACACATGCATGGTTGTGGGGCCATCCAATGCCTCATGGGAAATCTACCTGTGTCCACACCCTCCCTCCACAGCTATCAACTGCCATTGTTCCTCAGCAAAGGACTTGAGTTTGGAGAGATTCTTTCCCATGTATGCTGGAGTTTTGACAGTCTTGATCTTGCTCAGGTCTTGTGCCAGGCCAATTTTTTTCTTTATTTCAATCCTTATGAGCAGTACCCTAGTTTTCATTCCTATTGCTAAGGGTTAATTCCTGCCTTATTCTCAATCAACTTTCTTAAAATCCAACTTTTCCTCCCAAGAAAATATAAATATTCTTTCTCTCTAAATATAGCCTTCTCTGTCTAATGTTACCACACAGTTCACATGTACACAGCCCAACATGTTATCACACTGTGAACCTCTCATGAAACCACCATGTTTTACCTTCTGCTTAGAATCCATGCGGTTTTCCTTCATTCTGTCCACAAATTTTTTGAAAAATGCTATTGAATCCTTATGGAACATAGAGATATTTAACATTTCATATATTGGGATAAGGAATGGAAAGAGTACTGGAAAACAATTAAAAGAAGTTTTGATTAAAATGCAAGTTTCATTCAAACAAATCATAAAGCAATCTCTAGAATAAGTCAACAGTGTCTCAACCAAAAGCCATTCTCTCTGTGACCTTGCTCACACTGGGTCAGCACCATACTTCTTTTTCTGTGCTTTGGAGTAGCCAAAGCTGCAACCTGACTCTTAAATTAATCTCTGCTCCTGGAGTTCATGTGGATTCAGAAAGAAAATACAGGGGCCATTAAGATGGCTAAAAAACAAAGGGTCCTGCAGACAAGCCTAATAACCTGAATTTGATCCCTAGATTCCACTCTGTAGAAGGAAAGAACCAACCGCTGCAAGTTGTCTTCTAATCTCCACATGCCACACAATCACCAAGGCATGCACATGTGCTGGCACACACACAAGAACAGCCAAGAGAACCCTGTCTCAAAAAAAGAAAACACCCAAGCTCAAAGACAGGTTACCAAAAAGCATGAAGAATGAAAAAGCACATACTCTCCTTCACTTCCAGATTCTAGCTTATATGAATAACTATGTAAACAGTTCTACGTGTAGATATCATCTAACACTTACAAGCAGACACCTAGGATAATAGTAGGTAACAAGGATGGAATGTAGACAAAGGGACACATGAGCTGTCCATAGAAATATAATTAACATGGAAAGTATTAACCCTAAATGACACAGCATGGCTAACTGTACCCAGAAAATAAATACACACACACACACACACACACATATATATATATGTATATGTATATGTATATGTATATGTATATGTATATGTATATGTATATGTATATACATATAACCAGTTAGCACTCCCAGAAGAGTCAGGTTTTATTCCCAGCATCCCCATGCTTGCTGTCAACCACCTGTAACTCCAGTACAAGGAGATTCAAGACCCCATTAGGCACTTCATGCATGCAGCCAAAACACCCATACACAGAAAATAAAATAAATCTTATAAAATTGATAAAGAAATTAAGCTATGTAACAGAAAATCTAGCCAGGCAGTGGTGGTGCATGCCTTTAATCCCTGAACTCAGAAGGCAGGGGCAGGTTGAGCCAGGAGAGCTCAAGACCAGCCTAATCTAAACAGGGAGTTCAGTAATACCCAAAGATGAACAACAAAAAAAACCAAAACCTGGACCCTAAAAAGAGAGAGAGAGAGACAGAGACAGAGACAGAGAGACAGAGACAGACAGAGACAGAGACAGAGATGGAGACAGAGACAGAGAGGAATAAGATCTAAACTCATACATTAAAACATCTAAGTCCTGCATTTATGGCAGACATTCATATGTACAGTAAGCTCAGCTACTATAGACAATGCATGTTCAGTTGCTTTATATGTTAAAATTCCACTTACTTTTTAACTCAGCAATGCTGATTCTGACTATAACCCCAAACCATAAAACCAAATACTTAAACATGACCTTCTATATGAAGGCTCATCCCAGTGAAATTCATGGCGAACATGTGAGACTGACGTCAGTGTTCATCAACAGACAGGGAGTATAATCTGCTCATGAACACAGGACATAGTGACATTCCTTTCATTTAATATTGTGCTAAATGAAAGAGGCCTGTCACAGAGACCACATAGTCAACGATCACATTGATGGGAAATGCCCAGAATACTCAGATACAGAGGAAGTGAACTGGTGGGTGCTTAGGTCAAGATTGCTTGAAAGTTACAACACGGCCAGAACAAAGTCCTCTATGATTGACACTGGTAATGGGCCAGGTGGGCCTTCAGTCAATGCCGATTTCTAAGGAATCTAAGTACTGATAGTAAGGGGCTGTTGAGTGCTGAGTCCCAAATGGAGCATCTATATCAGCATCCCCATGCAGCAAGGCTAAAGGAACATGATGAAAGAGGGTGTGGAAATAAAGTCAGGGACAGGAATGGGGCAGTGAAATCCCATATCCAGGACATGGCGTGGCCCTCTCCTGAACTGACTGCATCAGATCCAGACAATAATATTTGTCAGCATCCTAGCACACAGCACTGAATGGACTCAACCAGCTACCAAAGCAGAAAACGGGAGCAGAAATTGGGAAGAAGATTTGTTGAAGTGTCTAAGTGATGTGAGAAGTAAGAGTTAGGGGTGGGTGTAATTGGGACAGATGGTATACCTGTATGATATTGCAACCATGGAGAGTTCTGGACGTACAGAGGGCCAAATTTGTATTTATACAAATTAGTATTTATATAAATGGAAGAATTCTAAAATAAAACCAATGCTCAGAGGTGCACACTGTTATCTCAGCCCTCAGGACGCAGAGGTAGAGGGATCACTGTAAGTTCAAGGCCAACCTGGTATACACAGCAACTTCCAGGCCAGCTAAAGCTACATTGTGCTAAGAACTTGTCTCAAAAAAAAAAAAACACACAGTTCAAAAACAGAAATAATTAGGCTACATGTCTTTGAATGTTCTAAAATTACTGAACTGTGCCTTTAGGGGATGAGTTACACGGCAAGTGAACTACACTACTAGAGCGAATCGTTTGGGGAAGTGAGGAAGAGAAAGGCAGAACTGACAAACATGGCCACAGACAAAAGCAATGATCAAAAGGCAGAACTGTCCATTCACCTGCTGACAAGATCAATGGATCAAAAAAATCCACTCTTAAGAGCTTCTTGGCTTTCTCCACAAAAGGATCCTTTGGGTTGTTGAGGGAATCAATATTCACTCCAAATGTCGTGCTGGTGATCACATCCATGCTGTAGGCACCTAACACTCTGAGGAGAGAGAAGGGTGGGAATTTACACATGTATCAGGGGCCAGGAAAGAATTCTAGGAGATAGGCAAAGCCACCTCAGTATGGACCAAGCCCTGCTCAGCCTTCCTACCATCTACTCCTGCTAACTTCTTTCTCTCATTTCTTTCTCTTAAACTGTGTATGATGTCATCAGGTGTCTAAAGGGGCAAGGACAAGCAGCTGGACCATGTGAACTGCACCCCAGGTGCCCTTCCTCTCCCAGAACCAGAGTGATGGACCAGCACTCACTCTCTCACAGAAACAGGCTTCCCTTTCTCTGCCTCTCGCCTCAAGTATTTTACCAAAATGTCTCCATACTGCTCGATGATAGGGAACATCTGAACAAAACAGAAAAGCATCCACAGTTAGGATGGGACTCCAGTCACACAGGATGCAGTTAAAAGAATTTCACTCACCTCCTTGAGTTTTCCACTGGTGAACGTGGGGGACAACAAGGCTCTGTATCTCTTCCATTCCTCATCCTTAGATATAGTGACGGATTTATTCATAATCCCCACTGGACCAAACTCCTAGAGTCAAAAAAAAACCAACCTCAGAATGCCTCACAGCCTATGAGAAATCAGCTGTACACTCTGCTTCCTATTTTAATTCCAACCCTTTATATTCTGGGACCCTTTTAAATGGAAATGTCTCTATGGTTGGAAAACTAGGTACAGGGGTGGAGAGAAGAAGAGAACAAGACTTAGTCGATCTCTACAGCTGTGCAGATGGTGTTAGGCTTAAAGAAAGATAGAAAGTTAATTAGAAAGTTAATTTTTTGTCTGAAAAATTCTCCAGTTCTGTATTCACAACATGAGAAATATGAAAAGGATGTCTTTATATGCTGTGTGTCTGTCTGTCTGTCTGTCTCTCTCTGTCTCTCTCTCTCTCTCTGTCTCTCTCTCTCTCTCTCTCTCTCTCTGTGTGTGTGTGTGTGTGTGTGTGTGTGTGTGTGTGTGTGTGTGTGTGTGTGTACATATGA